AGGGACCTGAGCAGGGAGGAAGGCACCATGCTGAGAGTGTGAGTGCTCCCAGAGCCTGCCTGGCCATGGGAATGCAGCAGTGGGATAACCTGACTGCTCCAGGGCCCCTGAAATAAATGCTGGGATTGTCCCACTGGGGCTGCCCCAGGGCCACCTGAAATAAATCCTGGGATTGTCCCACTGGGGCTGCCCCAGGGCCACCTGAAACAAATCCTGGGATTGTCCTACTGGGACTGCCCCAGGGTCCCTGAATGCTCAGCTGGAGTGGTTCTGGGAGCAATGATCTGCTGGAAAAGAGGGGGCCCCTGCTCCCCTTATCCCTGGGAGAGCCCCCCCTTGGCTTCCAGCAGTGCTGGGAGAATCCCCTGGCTTGGCTCTGGCTGAGATTCCGCTGGATGTGGGAATTGGCTCCGTCTCCCAGCTGCCAGAGTGAACGTGCAGTGCCTCAGTCCCTGTGGTTTTGTTGTGCAGGTGGCAGAACCTTGGCCCCCAGTACGTGGGGGAGTTCCTGTGCCTGTTCCTGACCCGCAGACACAAGAGGATGCAATCCGTGGGGCTCTTCAGCCTCAACGTGGTCATAGAGAACCTGCACCTGTGAGTGGCTGGGACTGCCCAGAAACCCTGGGATTGTCCCACTGGGGCTGCCCAAAGCCCTCTGAAATAAATCCTGGGATTGTCCCACTGGGGCTGCTCCGGGACCCCCTGAAATAAATCCTGGGATTGTCCCACTGGGACTGCCCAGAGCCTCCTGAAATAAATCATGGGATTGTCCTACTGGGATTTCCCCAGGGCCCCTTGAAATAAATCCTGGGATTGTCCCACTGGGACTGCCCCAGAGCCACCTGCAAATCCTGGGGTTCCCCCCAGTCATTCTCCCATAAATCTGGACTCACCTTGGCTTGGAGCTGTGAGTGTTGGATTTTTGTGGGGTTTGGGAGTGGCTGCAGCTGGGAGAGAATGAGTGGGAATTTCTCTCTGTTTCAGATGCCCCTGGGCAAAGCAGCTCTGCGCCTTTTTCCACGAGTCAGTGAGTATCCCAATATTTACAGGATTTATCAGCAATGCAGATCAGTGACACCCCTTACCAATTAAAATTGAAATGGTTTTGTGATAAAAAAAAACATTCCTGAAGGGGATTAATTGTGTTTTGTCTCTTCCCAGGGGCTGGGGCAGCTCCCCTTTGGCACCACAGTTCACCAGGAAGTTTCCAAGTTCGTCAGTGCTTTTGAGAAGCTCTGATTGGGACCAAATCCTCAGGAATATTTTCTCAGTTGGTTTTTCATCCAAGCAGTCTCTTCCTGGAGAGTTCCTTGGGTTTGCTTTGGTTGTCCCCTCCAGGAAGAGTCAGCTAAAAACTGGGACTGGCTCTGGAGTGGGAACATTTTGGGAGTTTCTTGCAGTTCCACATATTCAGGAGTTGTTGGCAGCAGCCTGGAGTTGTTTTCAGAAGCTGAGAAAAGCAGGGATGGAGCAGGAAACAGCAGAGAATTTTTCCTCCTGTTGGGACACAAACCTTGCAAGAGGCAACTGCTGAGAGGGAAAAACTTACACCAGGAAAACAGGGAGCTGCAAACTCCCTCTGCAGCAGTCTGGGGTCAAGTGCTGTTTGCACAGCTCTGATTTTTGGGTTTCATTCTAAACCAAAAGGCTGGAAGGTAAAACTGAGCTTTATTTTCTTCAGATAACCCCAGTGTGGGGCAGTGGAGAGCTGATTTTATTTGGAAATAATCCAGCTTTCAGGCTGGGCTTCTATTTTCTGCCGAAAATAAGGTTTAGATTGGTGCAGGTTCATATCCCAAATCCTAATTTTGGGGGGAATTTGGAGTTCACTCTGCCCTGGGCAGCTGAAAGAGCTCTGCCCCTTTGGGATCCCTCTGTGCCCTGCTTGGGCAGGCAGGAAAACAAACCCCAGCGTGTGCCCAAGGGCACTTTGCACATTTCCAGGGCTTTGGGGGCTTCTGCAGCCCCCAATTTCCTACAAAAAATCCCAAATTTCCTACAAAAAATACACCTGGATGGAAATTTGACACCTTGTTCAATAAAACTGCCCAGGTTCCATTGTTACATTGACATTTTGGATGGTTTTTTTTTTGATTGTTTGCTTGGTTTGGGGTGGGATATTTGGGGTTGGATTTTGTTTCGGGCTTGGGGTTTTTTTTGGCTTTGGTTTATTTGGGGTTTTTTTATACTGGGGGTTTTTTCTTGGGTATTTTGGTCCTGGTTTTTTGGCGGGGGGGTTGGGGTTTTTTGGCTTTGAGGTTTTTTTGCCTCTTTGGGTTTTTTGCTTTAGGTTTATTTTGTTGGGGGATTGGGTTTTTGGGGTTTTTTGGGGGAGATTGATTTTTTTAGGAAGCTGAGAGCTTTGGCAAGGGTTTAGGAAAAAGCACAAGGTGGTTTTTTTTAGGAAATTGAGAGATTTTGGGTTGGGTTGTTTAGGATGTTGAGAAGGCATTGGGGTGGGATTTTTTTTTGGAGTTGAGAGGGTTTTGGGGGGGGGGTTAGGGGTTTTTAGGAAGTTGAGGGATTTTGATGGTTTGGGGTTTTTTGTGGAGTTGAGATTTTCCTTTGAGTGTCGGGTTTTTGGTTTGGGGTTTCTTTTTGAGGTTGGAATTTTTGTCTTGGGGTTGGACTGGGCCCCTCATCCCAGAACCCCAAAGAGGGGATGGGAACAGATTTGGGGCAGGTGCTTTGTGTCCTCTTCCAGCAATTTCATCTGGAAAAATGGGGAAATTTCACATGGAAAAATGGGGACATTTCACCTGGAAAATGGGGAAATTTCATCTGGAAAAATGGGGACATTTCACCTGGAAAATGGGGACATTTCACCTGGAAAAATGGGGACATTTCACCTGGAAAATGGGGAAATTTCATCTGGAAAAATGGTGACATTACATCTGGGAAAATGGGGAAATTTCATCCGGGGAAATTTCACCTGGAAAAATGGTGAAGTTCCACCTGGAAAAATGATGGAATTTCACCTGAAAGAATGGTGACATTTCACCTGGAAAAAGGCTGATATTTCACCTGGAAAAATGGGGACATTTCACCTGGAACATCATGGATTTCACCTGGAAAATTGTGGATTTCACCTGGAAAATTGTGAGTTTACAGGATTTCCCTGAAGTCTGGAGTGGGAATGTCCCCCCAGCACCAAGGGGGTCCCATCCTCTAATTGCTCCCATTTCTAATTAATCACTCTCATTTCTAATTAATAGTTTCCAATCTCTTCCTTTCTCCCAGAGCAGTGAACAGAAACCCACTCTGAGCATATTTATGGAAAATTTAAGGAAAATTTCCAGCCCTTCACCCTCAGCCAGCCCCTTCCTGCTGGTGGATTCTGTGCTTGGTGCCTGATCTCCAGGAAAACCCTCTGGAATTGGGGCTGGACATTCCTGGGAACTTCCTTCACTTTTTTTTTTTTTTTCCCACATTTTCTCCCACTTTTTGATTTTCCCCTCATGACAAGAGAGATGTGGAGGGGCTGGAGAATCCCTGAGGGAGCTGGGAAGGGGCTGAGCCTGGAGAAAAGGGGGATCCCAAAAAGAAAAGCTTTGCAGCAGAGCCCTCCCTAAACCTCCTTCACTTTTTTTAAATTTTCTTTTTCCACATTTTCTCCCACTTTTTGATTTTCCCCTCTGATCCCACTTTTCTGCAGGCTGAGCCCCATCCCAGCTCCTCAGCCCTTCCTGGGGCTCCTGCCCCAGCCCCTTTTCCCTGTCCTTGGCCCTAAATAAATTTGGGACAGCTCTGAGGAGCGGGACCGAGTCCCTGCCCCGCTCCCCTGGCATCGCAGGGACATTTCCAGCTGCTCTCCCAGCTGGAAATCCCGGGATTTAATCCCAGGACTATGGAAATGGCAGGATAACAGATGGCTGAGCTCCTTAATATTGCAGAGCCCGGGGAGCTCGGCGTCCCTACATCTGCAAAATCCGGGGGGCTGCACCCCAAATCCCTGGAATTGCACCCCCTGCTCCTGCCTGGAGGATGGGATGGACCCCAAATCCCTGGAATCACCCCCTGTTCCTGCCTGGAGTGTGGGATGGACCCCAAATCCCTGGAATCACCCCCTGCTCCTGCCTGGAGTGTGGGATGGACCCCAAATCCCTGGAATTGCACACTGCTCCTGCCTGGGGGATGGGATGGACCCCAAATCCCTGGAATCACCCCCTGTCCTGCCTGGAGCATGGGATTCACCCCAAATCCCTGGAATCGCCCCCTGCTCCTGCCTGGAGGGTGGGATGGAACGGCATTCCCGGCTGGAGCCGCATTCCCGGGGCAGCAGCGCCGGGATCGGGGCGGGAGCCCCGCGGGGCCGGGGGAGCCCCGGGCAGCAGAGGGGCACAGAGAAAACGCAGCGCTTCCTAATAGAGCTTAAATTTTATATTTCCTGTATATTGTCCTGTGAGGTGCCGCTTTCGGGAAGCCTTGATATATTTATTTTTATAATTTTATTTATATTTATGTTTAATTTATATTTTGCTTTTGTATTTATATTTTAATTGTATACTTATAATTTTATTTTTATATTTATATTTTAATTGTATATATATAGTTTTATTTTTATATTTATATTTTAATTGTATATTGATAGTTTTATTTTTATATTTATATTTTTATTGTATATGTATAGTTTTGTTTTATATTAATTTTATATTTTGTTTTAAATTTATATGTTTCTATTTTAATTGTATATGTATAGTTTTATTTTATATTAATTTTATATTTTTATTATTTATATGTTTGTATTTTAATTTTATATGTATAATTTTATTTTATATTAATTTTATATTTTTATTTTTATTTCTATATTTCTATATTTATATTTTCATTTTATATGAATATAAAGAGTGAGGCGCAGCCGGGATAACCCCAATTCCCGAGCCCGGCCGGGTACCGGGAGCCGCCTCCATCCCGGGCGCTCCGGCGGAGCCAAATCCCCCGGGAGCGGCGGGGGGAGGCGGTGCCGGGATCCGCTGCTGCCGCTCCCGCCGCGCTCCCGCAGATTGTCCCGAGCCTTTGGCATCTCCGGGAGCCGGAAAGAGCTGCGGGAGCACCGCCAGGCCCGGGCTGCGGACCGGCCCCGATTCTCTGCTGCCGAATCCCCAAACCAGGTGGGAGCGGGATGGGATGGGATGGGCGGGATGGGATGGGATGGGATGGGATGGGATGGGATGGGATGGGATGGGATGGGATGGGATGGGATGGGATGGGATGGGATGGGATGGGATGGGATGGGATGGGATGGGATGGGATGGGATGGGATGGGATGGGATGGGATGGGATGGGATGTGCGGGATGGATGTGAGGGATGGGATGTGAGGGATGGGATGTGCGGGATGGGATGTGCGGGATGGATGGGGATGTGCGGGATGGGATGTGCGGGATGGGATGTGGGGGATGGGATGTGCGGGATGGATGTGAGGGATGGGATGAGCGGGATGGGATGAGCGGGATGGGATGTGCGGGATGGGATGTGAGGGATGGGATGTGCGGGATGGGATGTGCAGGATGGGATGTGTGGGATGGGATGAGTGGGAGACACCCCCGGGGAGGGGAAGGGGCTGATCCCGCTCCCAAATTGGGACGGGTTTGTGTTGGGATGGAGCTGTGCCCGCGGGAGGATCTCACCCTGCCGGCACCTCCAGCCCTTCCCTGCCCGCTCTCCCGGAGCTGGGGCACCCCTGGGGTTCACGGCTTGGGGACAGGGGAATGTCTCCTTGTGCCACCAGGTTTTGGGGTGACACGGGGGCCACCCCTCTGTGGGCACTGCTTGAGCTCCCTCAGCTGCTGTGCCTCAGTTTCCCCATCATGCCCGTCGCTGCCGGGGTGGGAGGAACAGAGGGGTTTGCTTCCACCAAATCCCTCCTGGTCCCTTCAGAGCCGTGGCCAGGCAGGAAAAGGACAAACAGCCCCTTCCCAAAGAGCCTCGGGCTGCTCCTGGCTGCTCCCCACCCAAACTTCTGTCAGATCTGCCTCAGTCGCTGCGTTTTGCACGAGAGGGGCACTGGGCAGCCTTTGCCCCAACCAAAACAACCCCAAAAGCTCCTGGAGCCCTTGGCTGCTCCTCTGTGGGCTTGGAAACCTCCCCAGAGCCTGGGGATGCTGGCCCCATCCCAGGGGAGCCTTTGGGGTGCATCTGAGGGATCAGGGCAGGACAAGGCACCAAAATCCCCATTCCCAGCCCAACGGAGCCCTCGGAGAGCGCGATGGACGAGTGGGATCTCCCACAATGGAAAAAAGAGGTGGAAAGCCTCAAGTACCAGCTGGCCTACAAGAGGGAGATGTCCTCCAAGACTATACCTGAGTGAGTGGGGCCTTCCCTTCCCTTCCCTTCCCTTCCCTTCCCTTCCCTTCCCTTCCCTTCCCTTCCCTTCCCTTCCCTTCCCTTCCCTTCCCTTCCCTTCCCTTCCCTTCCCTTCCCTTCCCTTCCCTTCCCTTCCCTTCCCTTCCCTTCCCTTCCCTTCCCTTCCCTTCCCTTCCCTTCCCTTCCCTTCCCTTCCCTTCCCTTCCCTTCCCTTCCCTTCCCTTCCCTTCCCTTTTTTTCCCTTCCCTTTTTTTCCCATCCCAGTGCCCCCAAGAGCAGAACCCACCCCCCTTTTTCCCCCCTCAGCTCCTGGGGATGCTCCCAGATGAGATTTTCCCTTTCTGGATCTCCAAGCCCCAGGGCCAGAACCCCCCCGGTGTCCCCGAGCCCTTTCCAGCTGCCCAGGCTGTGGTGGCACCTCCTGACCCCGGGGTGTCCCCTGGCAGCCCCCAGGGTGCAGATCCCCCTTCCCAGAGCTTTGCAAAGCAAAAAACACTTAAACTCACGGATGGCTCAGCTCCCTGCCTGCTTTGTCACAGAGCTAGGGATATGTCCCCCCCAGGATTCCCCCACCAGAGCAGGATTTACCCCGAGCCCCCCAAATCCCCCCTTTTTGCTGCCCTGGCCCCCGGGGGCTGTGCCCACCCTCCCTCCCTCCCCTCTCCACAGGTTCGTGAAGTGGATCGAGGATGGAATTCCCGAGGATCCCTTCCTGAACCCGGAGCTGATGAAGAACAACCCCTGGGTGGAGAAAGGCAAATGCATCATCCTCTGAGGCAGAGTTTGCATTCCTCAGCCCCAGCTCCAACACAGAACCCCAACAAAAGCCCTGCCCGCTCCTCCTTTCCTCTCTTGTAGCTGTAGAAGGGTTTTAGAAATGGGGGGAACACGGGGAAACGCCCCAGGAGGGGCAGCCTGGGGGGAGGAGCAGCAAAAACTGCTCCAGGGGCATGCTGCAGCTTCATCTCACACTACACCAACCCAAAAAAGGCAGGTTTTTGCAACTTGTAAAGAAGCTTTTTATCAACCCCCCCATTTTTAGTGGTTTTAGATACTTTTGTACGCTGTAGGATATTGCTTCACAGCAAACCAGGCAGAATCTGGCACCTCGAGGTTTATGACTGAAATAAACAGAGCAATACTTCACTACTGATTTTTTTTCCTGATAAGTTTTATTTCTTTTTTAAACAAAATAATCGGGTAATAAAAAACACTACCTCAAGCTGATGGCCACACAGCCTCTCCAGGGGCTGGAAAGGCAAAGGCAGCTGATCCCTGGTGCCCTAGAGCAGGTCCCTGATGTAGAGGCTCCTCCTGACAGCGTTGGAGAAGCCCTCGTTGAAGCGGAACCAGACGTCGCTCCTCCCCACGGCCTTACCCATCTGCAGCTCCAGAGATTCCTCCTTGGAAACCCGAGGGGCTGCAGGGGGAAAATCCACTTTAAAACCAGCCAGGAAACCTTCAGCTCATCAGCTGTGCCCTGCCTGAGAGGGGGGATGTGGGGAGGGTCTGCAAGGGCAGAGCTGATGCTCCCAAATCCTGAATGCTGCAGCTAAAAATTCACCTCAAAATGCCTTTGGATGGGGTCAGAATCCATGGATGTGCCCACAGGAACTCCCTGCCAGCTGGACTGGGCACATTTTGTCCCTGCTGCTGTCCCCTGGGGATGGGGCTGAGGGACAGGAGCCCCTCTTTGGGAATGGGGAGAGCCCCCAGTGGCACCCAGGGCCACCCTGTCCCTGTGCCACCCACCTGGGGCTGGAGCCACCCCATCCCTGTGCCACCCACCCAGAGCTCAGGGACACTCTGTCCCTGTGCCACCCACCCTGTGTCACCCACCTGGGGCCGTGGCCGCCTCTTTCCTCTGGAGTGGCCTCCCAAAAAAATCCAGTTCAGGCTGTGGGAAGCAAAAAGTAGGAACGGGGTTGGCTCTGCACTTCCAGCTGCTGCTCAGAGGGACAAAACCACGGCAGGGTCGTCCCTGGGCAAGGCTCAGCCACCCCAAGGCTCCTCTGAGCAAATCCTGCAGGAAGGGCCTGGGAATGCCAACAGCAGCCAAATTTGGGGGAAAGACAAAATGTGAGGCTCAGGTGGGGTTTTATACCCAGGAAAGGGCAGGCAGCTGAGCCCTGGAGAGGGGTAGTGCCAGGGAAGGATCCCAGCTCCTCTCGGGGTGCCCAGGGTGGGATCGTTCCAGAGCAGCTTTTCCACGCTGCTTTCCCACAGAGCCCAAATTCAGCTGTTTCAGCCCAAATTCAGCTGTTTCAGCCCAAATTCCCACAGCTCCTCCCTCCCCCAGCCCTGAAAACTTCCTGGGACACATCCAAAATGTCACCCAGCTCCCATTCACGCCAATGCCTGTATGGGAACCACGGAGCTGAGCTGGGCTATTGTAGGAACCTGTACTAAAAATCCAAATTCCAGCAGAGCCAGGGAGTGCCTGGCAGCCCAGGGAAGAGCTGGTGGGAAGTGGGGCAGGAATTGGGGCAGGAATTGGGGCCTGACCTTGTCCTGCAGCGCTGCTCTGCTCACGATGTGCTCCAGGCGCTGCCGGTGGTTGGGGGTCCCCGCTGGCTCCGCGTCCCCTCGGTCCTCCCTGGGGCCATTCCTGGGGTCCTGTGGGGAGCAAGAGCTGAGCCAGGCTCCCCTCGGGGTGTCTGAGCTGCAGGCTTGGCCACTGAGCATCTGCCACCCCCTTGGCCTGCAACATCCCAAGGATTTTTCCAGCATTTTTTGCCTCCTGGGATCACCTGCAGCCCCTTTCCCTGGGATTTCACATCCGTACCATGTAAACAGGAGCCTTCAGAGAGGTTTTTGCAGCTTCTCTTTGTCCCACACATCTCCCAGGAGCCCTTCTCCTGCTCCAAGGGGCTCCCAGGGATTAATTATCCTGCTGGCACCAGGGCAGGGCAGGCATCAGCTACACCCAGGATGTTTCTCCACCTTTTCCACCCCTTCCCATCTTTTCCTGCCTCCAGGAGAACGTGCAGAGCCCCTCTGCTGCTCCTGGGGGCTTTGGGACCTCTGGAAGTGGCAGCAGCCAGGGAAGGGGAAGGCAGGGAAGAGCTCACCTCCCACATGGCCAGGTACAAACAGCAGCCAACAATTACCACCTAAAATTCCCACCTCCTCACACCCTGCACAGCGGAAGGGCTCAAAGCTTGAACTCCCTGCAGAAATTCCTGCAAAAAGCTGAGCCCTGCAGCCCAGCCCAGCTGTGCAGGGAAACAGCTGCAGCCAGAGGGGTTAATCCTGGATTTCCACTCAGCAGCTTTGGGATAAACAAATCCCTGGGCATTTCCTCCACATCCACAGCCCTGGCAGCCTTTTGGCAATGCCCACCTGGGCCAGGTTCTTTGCCTCTGCCCTCCTCATCTTCTCCAGCTCGATCTCCCTGGCAATGAGCTGCTTGGCCTGGTAGCTGAGCTGCCTGCGGGCCGGCAGCTCCGGGAAGCGGCACACGGCCTCCAGGTTCCTGCAGCACGGGAAAAAACAGGGAAATCAGGGAATAAACCCCAAAAAACAGCCAGCTCCGTGCTGCCTGCCAGCCCCAGCACGGGAAAAACAGGGAAAACAAGGAATCAACCCCAAAAAACAGGGAAATCAGGGAATAAACCCCAAAAAACAGCCAGCTCTGTGCTGCCTGCCAGCCCCAGCATGGGAAAAATAGGGAAAACAGGGAATCAACCCCAAAAAGCAGCCAGCTCTGTGCTGCCTGCCAGCCCCAACATGGGAAAAACAGGGAATAAACCCCAAAAAACAGACAGCTCCATTCCAGCATGGGAAAAAAAACAGGGAAAATTGGGAATCAACCCCAAAAAACAGCCAGCTCTGTGCAGTCTGCCAGCCCCAGCACGGGAAAAACAGGGAAAACAGGGAATAAACCCCAAAAAACAGCCAGCCCTGTGCAGCCTGCCAGCCCCAGCATGGGAAAAACAGGGAATACAGGGAATCAACCCCAAAAAGCAGCCAGCTCCATTCCAGCATGGGAAAAAAAACCAGGGAAAATTGGGAATCAACCCCAAAAAGCAGCCAGCTCCATCCCAGCATGGGAAAAAAAACCAGGGAAAAAACCCCAAAAAACAGCCGGCTCCATCCCAGCACAGGAAAAAAACAGGGAAAACAGGGAATAAACCCCCAAAACCAGCTGGCTTCATCCCAGCATGGGAAAAAAAACAGGGAAAATAGGGAATCAACCCCAAAAAGCAGCCAGCTCCATCCCAGCATGGGAAAAAAAACAGGGAAAATAGGGAATCAACCCCAAAAAGCAGCCAGCTCCATCCCAGCATGTGAAAAAAAAACAGGGAAAATAGGGAATCAACCCCAAAAAGCAGCCAGCTCCATCCCAGCATGGGAAAAAAAACAGGGAAAATAGGGAATCAACCCCAAAAAGCAGCCAGCCAGCCCCAGCACCTCCCAGCCCTGCCCCGTGGCTGCTTCCTCAGTTCCCCCCCCCCACAGTGTGGGAATGGTAATGGGAATGCAGGAGGGATTAGAGGGGTTTAATCCTGGTTTGAAAGCACAAAGAGGAGATTTGGAGCTGTGCTGGATTGCCCTGAAAAGCTCAGGGCACAGCACAGCCTTCAGAGCCACCCCGAGGTGCCAGGGACAGGATCAGGGGGATCCAGGCAGGAACAGGAGTTTGGGGTCGTCAGAGCAGCTGGGTTGGTGACAGGGCAGGAGCCAGGCCTGTTTCAGTCTCCCCAGCACTGAGGAGCCACCAGTCCCTCTGCCAGCTCTCAATATTTCATATTTATCCACTATTTATCCACTACTTTTTGCTATTTATCCACTAATTTTTCCCTATTTATCCATTACTTATCCACTTTTTTTTCCTGCTATTTATCCACTACTTATCCACTATTTTTTTTGCTATTTATCCACTATTTTTTTGCTATTTATCCACTATTTACCCACTACTTATCCACTACCTATTCACTATTTATCCACTACTTATTCACTATTTATCCACTATTATTGCCCCTAAAATAAAAGCACAAAGCCCCGAGTCAGGTGGCTCTGCACCCATTCAGAAATCAGTTGTCAAACCAATGCTTTAGAAAGTTTTAAAGAAATAAACTCCACGTTTTGCCGCTGACATCAGACTTGTTTGCCAGAGAGATGCTGGGACACAGGGACGTGCCCAGGTGGGTCAGCCCTGTCCTGCCACCTCCTGGGGATGGAGCCAAGCCAAAAGTCCCAACTCCTCCCTGAGGATCAGCACAGAATCCATCCTGGAATGGTTTGGGTTGGGAGAGATCTTAAAATCACCCAGCTCCAACCCTGATTGCTCCAAATCCCATCCAGCCCGGCCTTGGACACTTCAGGGATGGGGCAGCCACAGCTGCTCTGGGAATTGGATTCCAGGGCCTCCCCAGCCTCTCAGGGAAGGATTTTGAGTCCCCCTCGCCCTGCCCAGCCCGGCACTCACGGATCCAGCTTGAAGACGTACTGGCCCTCGGGCAGGCGCTCCTGCAGGTAGGTGAGGTTGTAGGTGAGCATGGTGCTGATGAGCTCAGCCAGCTGCTGCTTCTCCTTCAGGCTGTAGAGCTGCGTGTTCACCTGGCCAGGGGACAGCAGAGAACTTGGAAACCCCAAACAGCCCAAGCACGGGGTTTGTTTCTGGGTGAGGAACATCCCAGATCAAGCACAGGGTTTGCTTTTGGGAGAGGAAGGTCCCAGACCAAGCACGGGGTTTGTTTCTGGGTGAGGAAGGTCCCAAATCAAGCACAGGGTTTAGGAAGGACCCAGATCAAGCACGGGGTTTGTTTCTGGGTGAGGAATGTCCCAGACCAAGTTTAGTCCTCTCTCAGGGACACACAGGACAGAGCCTCTCCTGGATGGGGGTGCCTCAGAGCTCCCCAAAGCTCTGCTCAGCCAAGCCCAGCCCAGGTGGGACCCAGGACCTCTCCACACAGCCTGGCACCCCAACACCCTGCCCCCAGCATTGCACCAGCCCGGATTTGGGACACAAACCCAGGCTGGCTTGTTGGGATAGGGTTTGCAGAGGGCTCAGCAGGGCAGGGACACTCACGGGCCGCAGTTTGGGGGCGATGATGTCCAGCAGCAGGCACAGCACGTCCAGCACCAGCGCCTGCAGCCCCACACAGCCGCGCGCGCCCGGCGCCATCCCCGACACCACGGACAGCAG